AAGGAGATATAACTCATTTAGATAAATCTACATATTTTGATTGATGAGCATGGAGTTCCAGAAAGACATATAATAATAAGTTAGCTATTATTGTCTGAGCAATTCTGAGAGGTTTTTGAATTTTTTCCATCATTTTTATGAGAATTGGAATAACAGTCTCAAAATAGTACTGTTAGTCATAGAATGTCTTTGCATTAATAAAAATATAGAAATAAGCACACATTATGTCTTCAAATTTGTTTTTACAGAGGACAATTTTCAGCCAAAATTTGAAAATGTGTTTCTTTTCAATGTCAACATAGAAAAAAAACTAGATTTTTATCTACGCCTGTCTTAGACTTACAGTTCCATTTTGGGGCTGATATTTCAATTCTACGAAAAATAATGGAAAAAATTCAAACAACTTTTTACTTTGCTAAGACAATAGCAATATGATGCTGGATTCTGAAAGTGGTAATGAACTGTGAGACTTGACATTAGACTTTCTGAGCTTAGTTGGTTAGAGTGTTGAAATCCTGACATCACTTTGTGGGATATGTTGAACAAATAAATGGTAGTTTTTGTAAAGAAGATCTTCGTGATCCTAAGTTGTTATCCTTTTGTAAAGGATTTTTTTTTTCTTCTTTCATGTTTTCATTTTATTATAACAACTATAACAAGAAATAGTTATAAAGTTTTTGAAATTTGGACCCAAGTTTGTGCCAGTTGGCAATTATTTATATCAGTTCAATAATGATAAATGTTATAAGAAGGAAACAATATATTGGTTTTTACATTGTTCTGGGTTTTGAAAAATTGTATTACTTCAATTTCACAATCTAGATTTATAAGTGTTAGAACCTGAGTCAAAAATGTACTCATTCTTAATATTATTATGATTAAAATGCTGAAAAAGTCAAAGGTCAAAATATGTCCCTGAATAGTTCCCCTCTAATGAATTTTTAAATTGCGTTTGATTGACATGGAAAAGTATTTATTGGATCAATTTTGTCGTATTTGACGTAGAATTACTTCAAGTTAGTATTAACGGTAATTTATTTGTACAGTTGAACTAATGGTCTTTCGGTAGTGTGTAAAATAAGTCAATAGTCGTTTGGTAGTGTGTAAATTAAGTCTATGGACGAGTCAACGTAATTATTGACCATTTACAAGGCGATTTATTGAAGTTGACAGCACATCAGTCGTCAATTATGTCATTAACGTGACTTCTTACCAAGAAATGAATTGTTGTTATTGGTTCCTTCCCTGTTGATTCAAGTCATGTGCTTTCTCACAATTCAATTTTATGGAAAATTGCTGAGTTGATTATAGGCTTGTACATGATGGGGTTGTTAATTTAGATCTATATACAGGTTATACAGACGTTCATGTACAGGTCGAGGTTATACCTTCGCATGTATATCAGAGGGGCTGACATGGAAAAGTTTGTAGTCACGCATATGAGATAATAAACTGAGGTCCTGTGTGCTACAAGTAGTGCGTATTATAAACCCACCAATAATTAGAAGTGTCTTGATCATACAATAATCCTCCCAGATTACAAATAGAAGTCCTGTGAATTTATATTTCCAAATAATAATTTTACAATGGTTGACCTTTTAATCAATCCAAAGGCAATCTTAGACTCTTAGTACTGTTTTGACAAAATGTCAGTGTAGAATTTGATACCAAATTGATCCTGCAGACCTATATGCCAGCAATATCTGCATGACATCAATCTCATACAATAAAACAGATGATGTTAAAATATTTATGATTCACTATAACAAAAGGTAAGAATACTTTTCTTGTATGTAAGAAAGGCAAGGGGTCTGTTAAATTCAGGTCAGTAAAAGCTTTATTTGCAGCTATAATATATTTTTATTTTATATACAAGAAGAGGTTGTAGCTCAGTTGGTAAGGGAGTTGGAATCTCAAATGCTTTATTTATAGCAACACTTCATTGACCCTGAGATATATTGGGGTAGGCTGTAGCTCAGTTGGTCAGAGTGTGGAATGTCGATGTCATTAGCATGCTTAGTAACCATTAGTTGTATGGAAAAACTTATCTCATGGATTCTTATTTTCATTTCACTTTGAAGACAGACTGTAGAACCTTGATGTTATTAGATAGGTTATGTTAGTGTGTATAAATCTGATGACCCTGAATAAATCTTTATTATTCATCATTCCAGTTGGCCAAAATGTACAGGATCCTGGTTCTTGAAAAAGTTGCTTCTTGCATGGTTATTGTTTTGTGATGCCAAAGGGAAGAGATCATTAGAGGTGGAGGAATCTTTAATGTGCACAGCCTGTAGTATATCAGTCATTGGTATATTTCTTTCTAGTTTCCATTATTGAGAGGAAAACAGGGTTGGATAAAAGGATAGATATATGTTTATTTGGATTGTATAAGATTCAGGATATATCATATCAGTATATAATAATAGGATATACAACATTCTTTTGGGATCTCATTAATATTTGATAGTCCAACCATGGATTTGGTCCCACCAGGCAATATTGTACAAGATAATCATTATTCTTCATTAAAGTGGCAGTCTGATTTGTTTTGTAGGACTGAAATTTCTTTTTGCTCAGATTTATGACAACTATACACCAAAATCTAGAGAAATATGTCTCTTAATTTATCTGAAAGTATCTGGCTGGTAATTTTAGAATTTCAAACTAGTTAAAAGGTATATGTTGATATTTTAACGTCACTATGTTATTTTTTGGTAGATTTTGGAAATAGAATGTACAAATTTTAGTAAAGTAAAAGCTGTACAGAAAGATATCTTGTACGAATTCGGCAGAAGGTTTCAACCCAAAATATCAAGCCATTGTAAAATCAAACACCAAACCAAAATCAACTGCTTGCTTAATAATTAGTACACTTTTATAAAAGGTTGATACATGTATCAAAATAATAATAATAATAATAATAATAAAAATCTGCACAAGTGAAACAATCCTTTTAACCAAAAATCTTGTCCAAAGCATGAAAAAATCAGGAGCAATAAATTTATAGTAGTGGACGAAATTAGATGTTTCAAATAGAGGAAGTAGAGATGCGATGGGAATATTTAAGGTTCCATGGACCCTAAACTCATTGCATGTGTCCAAAGATTATTATTGTGATGTGAGACCCAAAGAGCTGCTGGTTTGAAAACCTTCTTAAAGGGATGAAGTCATCTTGGGTTTGATTCTCAGCATAAGTCATGATATAGCTTTCAGATTTTTCAGGTTTCTCCTGTCAGTGATGAAGGTGGAAGTGGTTGACTTCTGATTGACCAACTAAACAATAACGGGACAATAAACCAAGGCTCAAGTGCTACAGACTGTGCCTTGAATGGTAGTTCCAATTTCAAAATAGTCAGGCATACATAGGCTTAGTGGGTTACACTGGCAGGTCAGAGGGACTGACATGGAAAAAGCATTGTGCTTGTGTAGTCAACTAGTCAGGGAATGCAGTTGTTTTGGAAAAAAGCGGAAATTCCAGGTGCGAGCAGAGTAGGACATTATACGTCATGTTATTTCTAGACTGATTCATTACTCTTGGGTTCAAAATCTTTCCGAAGTAATTGCGTAATTGCGTCGAAATTTGTTTTTCATTAAACTTTGTGTTGACAAGGATTTCAAAATGTCTGACTAAGTTTTTTGTGATAATTAAACTTGAGCTTTGATCTTTTAATTTTAAGTTCGGACGAAATCCACTTCATTTATAGAACATTTTTTATCATGTTTAAACTCTTGATCGTATTTTTTTCTTAAGACTATTGATCTTTTTCTTTTATCAAACTTCTTGAATGAATGAATGAATGAATGAATGATGATGTTGAAATACGGAAATTTAAAGATCTACATATCAAGTTTGTTCCAAATCACATGAGAATTGAAATCTCTATCACTTTACACAGCACATTTTGATACATTTGTCCATGTCAACAACTCCAATAACTTTTACCTAAACCGTATCAAAAACTGAATCTAATATCTTTGAATATAACAACAGCATTCCATATTTGATAAAATCTTTTGGTCATCAGACTTTCGCACACCGGCCTAGATTAGAATCCATGACATCCATTTCTTCGACGTAACCAAGTGAAAATGACATCAAATAAGATTACAGAAGCAAAAAAAAGTTGAGAACGTGGATGACATTCTATCCACATTTCCATCTGGGCGAATAAAAGTACATCAATATCTGAAATGTTAGATTTATGTTTTATGTATTAGTACAGAAGATTATGAAAGTATTTAAGTAGAATTTTAAAGATTTATTGACTTGGCTTAATGTAAAAACTTGTTAATTTTATTGCCACCGATATTTCTATATATCCGTATTATGTGTATTATTATTGATATCCAATATCAAGTTGTAGACATCGGACACCTTCGCTGCTGGACTGATTTCAAAATGCAGCCTACTTTTGAGGTCTAATTGTTTAAACAATAAAATTGCTGTTATTCGACAATGGCTGATTTTACGACTCCCTGGTGCCGCTTTGATTATGAAAATGATTCTTTCTAATCCTAAAAGTCTTTTACAGTTGTCTCAAGGTCATCAGACATAAATCAAACCTCGTTAAATACTGTGTTTTTATTGGTTTGTCAATATGATAAACTTATCTTATTAATATGGTTACTTGAATTAAAATGAAATGAAATTGGAGTCTCATATCCTAGATAACTGTAGTAAATAAAATTATATTTAAGTTTCAAATCTCATAAACAAGGGCGTATCTAGAAAATACCTGAGGGTGGGTGGGGTGTTTTTGGGAAATAAGTATGAAATGAATTTTAACTGCAATGTTCTCTGCAGTATGAAATAATATGAAATTGTATTTGAGTATTATATCCCATACAGTTATAGTTAAATTTGAAATCAATGATGAATAAATACTTTTTCAAAAACAACAGATACTTAAAAAAAAAATGGATTGTAAATTCAACATTTCTGTGTTCACTTCAATTGGTCAAGTAAAAATAATTTGTTTTATTTTCTCTTTTCAGATAGTAACTTTGTTTTGGGAAACGCACAAGGTTCTGGTGGTCCTATCGTATATTGTTCTGATGGATTCTGCGAGCTTACAGGATATTTCCGTGCCCAAGTCATGGCCAAGAGCTGTGCCTGTAAATTTCTCTATGGCAACGATACTGAGGAAGAAGAGAAAGAGAAGATTGAGGAGGCATTGCAGAATAAAACAGAACTAAAAACAGAAATTATGATGTATAAAAAAAATGGTAAGTAAGATCCTATTCCAGGTTGATCTATTAATAGTAACACTTTTTTTATTTTTAGGTCATTTAAGTGGGTTGTAAGCTGTTCCCTTGTGGCATTGTGACCTTGTGGTCTGACCCTGTACCCATCCCGTATCCATAAGCTGTTCCCTTGTGGCATTGTGACCTTGTGTACCTGCCCTGTATCCACAGGCTTTTCTTTGTGGCCCATTGACCTTGTGGCCTGACACTTTACCCGCCTTGTACCCACAGGCTGTTCCCTTGTGGCATTGTGACCTGGTGGTCTGACCCTGTACCCATCCTGTATCCATAAGCTTTTCCCTTGTGGCATTGTGACCTTGTGGTCTGACCCTGTAACCACAGGCTGTTCCCTTGTGGCATTGTGACCTTGTGGTCTGACCCTGAATCCACAAACTGTTCCCTTGTGGCATTGTGATCTTGTAGCCTAACTCTGTACCCGCCCTGTATCCACAGGCTGTTCCCTTGTGGCCCTTTGACCTTGTGGCTTGACCCTGTACCCGCCTTCTATCCACAGGCTGTTCCCTTGTGACCTTGTGGACTGACCCTGTACCCGCCCTGTATCCACAGGCTGTTCTCTTATGACCCTGTGGCCTGACCCTGTACCTGCCCTGTATCCACAGGCTGTTCCCTTGTGGCCTTGTGACCTGACCCTGTAACTGCCCTGAATCTACAGGCTGTTCCCTTGTGGTCTTGTGACCTGACCTGTACCTGCCCTGTATCTACAGACTGTTCCTTTGTGGTCTTGTGACCTGACCCTGTACCTGCCCTGTATCTACAGGCTGTTCGCTTGTGGCGTTGTGAATGTTGAGTAGAGCAAATAAACACAAGACACAACTATTAATGCCATCAGTTGTTTTTATTTATCTCGACAATGAACCCCACTACTGAAAACCAGAAGAATGAGGAGGATACTGCATTTATTTTATGCCTATCTCTGAATACAACATGTCTCTAGACAACGCCCACGGACATTAAATCAATAAAATCAGCTTCAGTCATATTGATGATATTGATAACAATGACATTGAATTTCAACAGTTTAGATGCAATATTGTATTTATAAATGAGTGATCCCTCTTGTGCAGTTGCAATAAAAGTTCATTGTTTATGTAGGATGTAAAACTCTATTTCATTTCCTTAGTTCAATCAAAAATAGAACAGTAGGATGTAAAACTATTGTATTTCAGTATTGCAAATAGTAGTAAAGGCTGTAAAACTTTTTTCTTTTTATTGCTCTTCTTTCAGGAAGTCCATTTTGGTGCCTTTTAGACATTGTTCCCATCAAGAATGAGAAGAGACAAGTTGTTCTATTTTTAGTATCACATAAAGATATAACACGAGATAAAGTAATATATAACGATACCAATGTCACAGATATCAATGGTGAGTGCCAAAGGGGTGAGTGTCACTCGACTTTTTCTCCTTTTCATCCTAAGTTAAAATTTACCTTAAGATTTTTCAACCCAATTTTCTGATAGGAGAGGCTGACATGGAAAAAGCATCAAGCCTTTCAGATGGAACAATAAACCAAAGCCTTTCTATGCTTCAAGCTGTGCACATACATCTCCTTTTCTGAATTGGGTCAGGCAACCTGACCTAGCAAAGGTCAAGTTTGGATTTCTCAACCTGGTTTTTCTGCTTGTCTGTGACGCAGATAATAGAACTGAGATGGAAAACATATGTAGTCGATCAGATGGGTCAATATACCAAGGCCCTATACGTTACAAACTGTGTACATTAAAGATCCCTTGACAGTTACAAATTCAAAAAGAGTAGGCTAGTACCATAGTTTTGGCTAAATTTCACCTCATTGTACACTGCATACATTTTGCTATCTAATGAGGACAAAAAAAATTGTTGAACTTCCCTCACCAAAAATGAAGATGAAAACATTTTTTTGATATACAATTTTACATGTTGACATGTTAGGTTTCGATTTCCATGAAATATAAAATTCTAAAGGTCATAAGAATCATGGCGCCATTGTCAGGAATCATAGAGCTGTGACCAAACTGTTTAGAGTATTGATGCCAAACAGGTTTCTATTACATTGGGAATTGGTTAAAATGGTGGAAAGGAACTAGACAATGTGAAATGCCTAGCGACCGAAACGCTTCATTGGTCCTCTTAATCAAAAATTAATTCTACCTTGCCAATTAGACATACTTCTTGCAACATGGCTGAATATTTAGCATTATTGACGAAATAATATATTTAGTGTTTTAACTTTAAGCAAAGTATGGATGCAAGATTCCTCATCTGTTTTGAGAATGGGAAATTCTTATCTTTGGAGTTCATTGAACAGAATTGAGAAGTCTAGATTAGAACATTCTACACTGTGGAGATTTTTGAAAATGTGTCATTAAGATAGCTAGTGTGAAAAAAGGGTCTGTATTCTCTTGTTTGGACATAATAAGGGATCAAAGGTCACATACATGGATTGATAATTTTGAGAACAGCCAGTGAATTCACAGAACAGAATCGAAAAAGTTCAGATTAGAATGTTCTAGAAAACAAAGATTCTTTAATGGAAATCTTTGAAACAGGTCATAGTTCCCTTATTTGGACTTTGAGTTACCTTTGAGAATAACAAGTGAATACACTGAACAAAAAGTCAACAACAACAATATTCTTCAGTCCAAATGAAGGCAGGCAGTGTCATGCAGTGTACAATCATGGAAATTTTTAAAGGACAGTGGCACACTATCGTTTTTTATTTAAATGTTAGATATAGTGTGATATGAATTTAGAATAAATTAGAAAATGGTGAACAAAATGAAAGGTAAAAAAGATGTGAAATGGTCAAGGTCATTTCAGGACTAACGATATTATATCTTCAGCACGATTAGTGAGTTCAGCACATTTGGTATTTATAGAATAATCTGCACATTCAATAAAACTGAAACAGAAATTGGAACAGAGTTCCATGTGTTGCGCACAAAAGGGTACATGCAGACAGAAATCAAATGGCGGTGAAAGGAACATTTTTAATGTGACATAATCTGATTTTGATTGAAACCAGAATTAGAACAGAAGGAATATGTTCAGAACTCACCAATCGAGCAACACCATACTACGTATGATATGTAACACATGATTTCAGAGCGAACTTTTTCTGTAAAAAGACTGGAAAGTCTTCTACATCTAGAAAATAAAGTAGACAAAGCAAACCAGACTTATTTTTGTTTTATCCATGTGCAACAGGATAGGTTGCAAAATGCATTGACAATATTTTTTCTATATTACTTAATACTTCAAGCATCAAAAAGTGTTTTGTCACTTTCAACCAGTCTGTTGTATTGCCAATAAATTTTATTTTCGGTTTTAGATATACCAGTCCCTTTTTCTATGGCTGATTATACAAGAAATTTAAGAGGCTGCAAAAACAATTGTGTCAAAATCAACCAGTACCTTTTCTATGGAACAGTATTAGTCTTTTTTCTATTGTAGATAATACTGGAGATTCCCACGAAGAGAAGGATGAAGACATGTTATCACCCCACACTGATCTTCCAGAGAACTATAACTACGGCAGACGACGAAGCAGAGCTGTTCTCTATCAACTGTCTGGACAGTTCGACAACAAAAATAAACAAAACAACAAGGCCAAGAACAAGTTGAAACAGGTTTGTGCTCTTTGTTGTCTGCTATCTTTTCTCTTATTAGCCGATGTACGCCCCTTTGTGACTACTTCTGATAATATAAGCATGTGGATCTGCATTAACATGATCAGGTGACAAGGGCTGCCCCCAAGCGGTAAAATGTGCTTGTCATTGTTGGCAAAACAATTTGTGGTGCAATATTGAATTAGAAGGATCCTAAGAAATATTTTGTGTTCATTTCAGCTTGGTAATTTTTCTGGAAGCATGCCAGAATATAAAGTACAGGAAGTGCAGAAATCAAGGTTTATCATCGTGCATTATGGGATATTTAAAATTGGCTGGGATTGGCTGATATTATTATGTACATTTTATATCGCTATTATGGTACCGTATAATGCAGCATTTCAAGGGCGTGACAGATCACGAGATTCTGTATATTCTGATGTCGTGGTTGAAATTTTGTTTATTATTGGTAAGTAATCTCCCCTTTCTATTTTCTTGAATTTTGGGGAAAATGGCTCATGTGTACAGAGTTGATGGTAGAAAAGACATTATCAAAATCATCTAATTTTTGCTATAGATTGGGTTTGAGGGGGTTCTGTTTCTCAGTCATTAAGAGAATTAGAAACTTTCCTCATTATTCCAATCAACCCAGCTAAAATGGGTACAAATAATCTGAGAAAGATCAATGTCAAGAGGTTTAGCCAAGAACAGCTGGTAGACAGGATTTTCATGAATTAAGTTGTATAAAATGGTTGTTTCTATATTTCTTTTATCTATAAATATTAAAACAGAACCTGAAAATATATTATTACTCAGAGTTTCACTTCATTCGATCTTCATACAACTGACCTATTTCAGCCTATGTCTCTACTGAAGTTGGACAAGTAGAACTTTTTATTTAGTCTACATTTTGAGACAAATTTAAAACATTTGTTTCAAGATGTGTACTTAGGGGTATTAATGGTTACATCGTTTGGTTTTATTCATGTAAATTTTAGCTCTGCAAGCTCTCTCAGTTGGTTCTTTAATTATTTGTAGTTCAATCTAAAGTCTTTTGGAATCATTTGGTAACCAGAGATCAGATTTTACTTCTGAAAAGTGATACACACAGCTATAATAGAGATAAGAAAAAAGATGCACTTACCTGAAATTGAGCAATTATTTGAAGTCTAAACAGTTGTATGTTCTTCTTGAATAGATTGGTTACCAGACATCACATCTGTAGTCTGAAAAGAGATACACATAGCTGCAATTGAGCTCTATGAGCTCTATCAGCTATATAAGCGGATATTTACATACCTGAAAATTTTTTTATTTATTTTTCAGATATTTTGTTGAATTTCCGAACTACATTTGTATCGAAAGGAGGGCAGGTGGTATATATGTCTCGACTAATAGCTATGAACTATATTAAAGGATGGTTTTTATTGGATTTACTAGCTGCTATACCCTTTGATTTACTCTACGCTTTCCAGATTGATACGGTAAGAACATTTTATCACTCTTGTGATAAAGGTTAAAGGGACTGGTAGTCAACTGCTCATAGTTTGTGTTCATATTGTATTAGAGTAACAAACTGTGCACTATAATAGAAAATTAATTCACACAATTATACAGTAGTTGTTTGTGATATTAATGTTCAAATGAAAAATGTTGGAATCACAGGAAACATAAATATTTATAATAAAATCAAAATGGTGCAAATTGAAGCTAAATGTGTTCCAGATAAACAAATAGAAATTAGAAAACCAATTCAAATCATTAAATAAAAGTCTTTAAGATTGTTATATGTTCACATTCAAAAGTTTTGATCAATATTTTCTTAGTTATTGCCCTTGAGTGAGTAGTAATTGTTCAAAAAATCATACCAAGCTACAATTATTTTGTTGTCTGGGCAAATAAATTTTTTAACCATGATAGTTGTGAGTTTGAGTTAAAAAGAAATTGATAACTTTTACAGGTCTATAATAATTTTGTAAGTTTTTAACTTTTTTCGCTGACTAGGGAGCAATTAGCACAAAACTCTGGTACTTTTATGGAAATTCTGAGTTGCAAGTGCAGGCAGAGTACACTATTGCTTTGAAAATATTAATTCATTTCAAAGAGAATTTATTTTTCATTTTTTTCTGTGGGTCACTTGCTCATATTAAAAGCTTGGTCCATCAATTGGGAGGTATTCTGGGATATTCTTAACAGAACATTGTTTGAATTGAATAATTAATTGTAACAGTTAACTTTAATAATACAGCCACTCTTTAACTTTAGCAAAAAAAGACCAGGTCATAATGAGAATGAGTAAAGTGTCACCCAGAAATGAAATGAATTACAGTGGCCAGGGCTGCAGTTTTCATCAATAAATGAAAATATTTTACTTTAAATGCACAGAGTGAAAATCTTTTTCATTTAAAAAATCACAGAATAGTCAGAATTGTTTTCTTTTTGCACATATTAAAATCTAATTTGTAAATGTAATTGTTTCGAGTTTGTGTCTCCATCATCAGATGAAATTCTTTTCCAGCTTGTGTTGAGTTGAACTGCTGTTAATAGTAGTCAGAATTTATACTAACAAATCATAAATAGATACAAATAAATATAATTAAAAAATCTTTAAATTCACTGCCAAAAGGAAAACTGAAGGAAAATATATTCAATTGTACTGGAAACAGTAATAACGTGAATCGAGGTACATTTGACTCAAGAAATATAGGTTCACAAAATATCGAAATTAAATGTTGAGGCTGGGATTTAAAATATGACAAATCTGTAGAAGCACAAAGCACAAAGCTCCTGCATCTTAGAGGGTTCTTCTCCAAGAAAATTTTTGATAAATAGAATGGATTAGGAGCATTGTGACACTTATTTTGGAACAAAAACAATTGGGTACCATTTTTGCCCCACTGGCGACACCACTGTTTCCCAATATTGTGATAAATATCGTACAGTATTCCTTACATCCTGATACATATTGTATCTTAACACGATTGGCAATACCTAATCATCAGTAGGCCTTTGAGAAATAGTGGCATTACTTTCTGACATGAAAAAACTTGAAATCAAAAGTCATCAAATCCCAAGATAACATTAAACAAAGAAAACCATAAAAAATGAAAAATAATAGAATTACAAATATCTGTAGAACTTAAAAGGTCAAGTATTCAACATTGCAACAAGTAATACCATGTAATAACATAAAAAATATTTTGTATGAATTATAGATGACTGAAGATTCCCTACTAATAACATTATGTTGTGAAATATGGTTTATTGTTGTTAAATACAATATTTCTTCAATTTTATTGCTTTGTCACTTTCTTTTTTGTATTTTTCTTCTTAAATTCAGAAGTCTTTGAACTATATTGTGTTTTTGCTTCACTTTACTTTTAAAGATGCAGTATGCAACATTTTCATTATCAAAAGAGGGTAAAATATATCTTATATTTGTTATTTACTATATATCTAATTGATCAAACTGAATTTGTTTTAAAAGGGTTAATTAAAAATGAAATGTATCACTTGTTAAGAAAGCAGCTTTAACTAGTTTTGTTGTTGGGCCTTATAAAGGCACGGTAGTATTAGTTGCTGTAGAAGATATATTTCTCTGTAATTTGGGGTTCATTTTCCTTAAATCTGTTCATCTTTTGTCCTATATCAACAAAACAACTTAGGGGCTGTAAAAGGTTAATGTAAACCTTTTAGATAGTTTTTGCAATCTGAATAATTTTTTGTTCATTCAGATTGGAAAAAGTTTATACATAAAATTTGTGTGCCATACATTTAAGCAGTAAGTTCAAAAAGCTTCTTTAGAAAGATTTTCATAATTAAGATTAAAAATATTTTTAAATTGAAAATTTTACCACAGAAAACTGATATAAGAAAATCTGTGGTAAAATTTTATGAGTAACCCGATTCTTATAATGTTGTTTATCATGCTAGTGTATATATTGGTTTGTAATTATAGATATAATTGAATTATATGATACTGGCTTTTATTACTACACCAGTCCATATTTAATTAAAAATTGACACAAAAACATGTTCTTGTAGTAAACAAGAAAGATTAGGTTTGTTTCCTTTTTAGATTCTTGCTTGCTAACCTGAAGGTCCAGGGTTCAATCCTGGCATAGGTCGAGATAAGTTGGACTTTCAAGCCAGTTTTCCCCTATCAGTAATGCAGGTCAGAAGGGCTGAACATGGAAGAAATGGGAAGAAATGGTTAGTGATTAGGAAGGGGCAATAAACTGAGGCCCAGCGTGCTACAGACTGTGCATGTTAAAGATCACTCGAGAAAAGAGTAGACTAATACAGCTGTCCTGACAAATTTCCTACATTTCCAAATCTTTACTAGCTTAAGCAGATGCATGAAAGACAAATGTAAAACCCTATTTATTTATCTACCTGTGTTGACTATTAGTAGCTAAACCTTGTATTAGGGATAGAGGTGATAAATATTCACAATGTCACATGATTTTTAAACTGCTCTTTAACATGTTTCTATCATAGTCATTAGGTCATTTTGTTTTGTAGACATGAACACACAAACACAGATGATATATAAGTGTACTAGCCACCCCATTTGTGTGAAAGAGTCATTTTGGTCACAATTTAATAAAAATACTTATCAGTAACCAGTGATTATAGTTCACAACTTATTATGTTATTATTATATATACAGGCAAACAGATTGTGACACCATAGTCATTTTGTTTTCTTTGAACCCCAAAATCCAACATGGATTATCATGGCTGCAGAGAAATGTGCTTAGTATACTCTCAGTTTTCTGTGGACAGATTGAAGAACAGGCTATCAAGGGATGAATGTTAAATCTGTTTCGTACACCTTTAGGTCATCAAGTAACCATAACTTTATTAATCGCTCCTTTCAAATGTTACAAAAGAAATCCAATAATGTCAGCTATTGTTTCCTGTCCCTGGTGAATTCAGCCAATCAGCACTGGTCATTTACAGTAATGTCTCCATTGTCACGGCAACCCAACAGTCTCTATACAAAATGCTTTTCTGATTATGACAAATAAGAAGTCTATTAGAACCTACGAGAAATTTTCAATTTGATTACATTAAATACTATTCCCACTCTTTAATATCAATCAAATTCATCTAGGATTGCTGATTGACTTATTAAAGGGTAACTACCTAGAAATTTCTAAACAAAAACATATGATAGCTGACACAAAAATTGGAAATATAAACATTTGAAACAAATTAAAGGAATATTTGGTGGGAATATTAGATTTACCAGCTGATGTAATTCAGTTCCAATTATACCTGTAACATTTATCAGAATGAATATTTAACTTTGCATTGGCATACAGTTGTAATTCCTTCTTGTGTTAAGTTATGCTATAAACTGATATTGCAAAAGACATTCACCAATTTTGGGGGTTAATTTGGGTCTTGGGTCTAAAATTTGTAACTGCTTGAAAGTGGTATTATCCCTTCAAATATACCGCAAACTGAGAATTTCACTTTTCCTTTCTCTGAATGTCTATAAGTCTCAAGAAAAGACAAGCCGTCATAACTTTCATGTACAGAAAGAAAGATGCTGGCCCAGCTTTTGCCCACCCACATTCAAAATATTTATCATTTTACTTAGTGAAAGAATGGTCTGATGTTTCCTAGAAACACCACTGCGTGCAGATAATTCTGAACACTATAACTGATAAGCTTAGCTAGAAATATCCGATTTCAGAGACTAAAGTATGAATGGTCAAATTGAGGTGGAAACTTTCCCTTTAAGACAAATAGTTTGTGGGCCACTGTCTTATCCAATTTTCTCATTTTATATTCCAGGGTACATTTATCCATCTGCTAAAAGTTGCCAGATTATTACGACTCGCCAGATTATTTCAAAAAATAGACCGTTACTCCCAATACAGTATTCTCGTTGTTACATTACTCATGTCTATGTTTGCCTTGGGTGCTCATTGGCTGGCTTGTATCTGGTATGCCATTGGTCAAAGTGAGCTGGAGAACAACCCTTCTAATTGGTCTGTAGGTAAGTCCTTGTTTGCTAAATTTTACTGCCAAAAATATTAGCACTTTCGTTTGTAAACCAAATGTTACTATAAAAAAAACAAAATGGTGGACTATAAATATTGACTGTGGAGCGTCTGGTAAAAAATCCTAAAGTTTTTGTCACAATTTACTATACAGACTGCAATACCCTTTTAGGATTCAAAATTGTTCATTATACACACAAATACAGTAAAGATTATTAAGAGACTTGTATGATTGTAAAAACTATGATTTTAAATTGTATTTGTATTTGATTTGTTGATAATACAAACATGACTTGAATTGTTTACTTTTCTTTCTGATTTAAATATGTTGACATAACAAAAACATAACACAAAAACATGGCAGAATTATTTCTTCACTATTTGATTTTATCATTTTAAACTTAAAGCATTTTAACTGTCAGAGGATGATAAATATGTGGGAACTTGTTTTAAAAATTCATGCAGTGACATATTTCCACCAATGTTTTTTTTTTCAAATTTATGAAACTTCGGCACCAACATATTTTCTTGAAATGTATGGAACTGCATACAATTCCAAAATATCCAAACTTACAAAATTGAGTGAATATAATTATGTGTTTCATGAATATGCAAAACCAAATTGTTCCTGTTTTATATTTTAACAACCCACCTTTACAGCATTTTTGATTGGTTAGCATACATTGAAATCACTTGTTTTCTTTACTAGAATGCACTTTCCAACATTGATCAAGTGAAATTCTTATGCAACAAAGAATCGTTGAGGCATTCAACCAATCAAATGCTCCAGTTATTAAAATAATTCTGGGGTTGACTTGTAGACCCAGTCCCTTTTTCATTGTTCATTCATTTTCATGTTGACATCATATAAATTCAAGGTAAAATTTTGCTTATGTGACAGATTTTTTCCATCCGATGTTATAAATACATTCTTAACAAATCTCGAATCAATTTTCCAAATTAATGTTTGATGTTTTTCCAATTAAACCTTATAGTTGATTGTTTGTGAGAATTGTTAGACAGTTGTCAATGAATAATAGATGAAATTTACATGAGCATTTTTAAAACAATAGGAGATTTATATAATTATGTTACATAATGTGAAGATAAATTTTTAGAGTAACAATTTAGGTTCTGGAGGTTCCAGTCTATAAGATTACTGGCTGTTTAAACCTCTTTGTAATAATCTTTCCTGGATTATTTGGTTGACTGGAATGATGAGGAAAGATGACTTATTTACAGCTGGATTGACCTATCCATGATTCACCATTTTCAGGGGTTGATTTGTGTCTTAAATATATGTAAATAGTCTTTAGAAGTACTAGAACTGTACATCAATAGCATAATTCCATTTACCTCAAACTAGAAATTTAACTTTCTATTTCTACATATATCTTTTTTATATATGGCGGAGTATTAAGCAAAAGACGAGACGTCATTTTAATTTTCAAACGTGAATTATTCTAGACAATAAAGGATTTGAAGGCTCAAATTTTTGAAATTCCCATTTCTGAATCTAAGGTTAGTCAAACGAATCTATCGTTTTAAAGTCATAAGCTTCAAGTGAAACAAACTTTTATAAATTTTTCTTGAAGTGTAGACATGGAAACAAGTTCTACTTGACAATAAGTAAGGAAGCAGGCTGAGATAGGTCATATGTCTGAAGAAACTGAGTAACCATATGTTTCAGGTTCTATTTTTAGGGCAGCATGTTAAAATGTTGTAAATTATACTTGAAAATATTTAAATCCATGTCAAATTGAATATATCTTAAAAGGGTTAATAAAAAACATATACTACATATTTCTCTACAATAGGTAATCATTTAGCTTTAATGTGTACAGTAGATTTCCAAAACCAGCTAACAAAAATAACAAATTTAAAATGTTTACTTTTCAATTTACAATTTGCAATTTTCAAAATAATATGTTTCATAAGCCACATTAAAGGAAGGTCATCTTTGTGGTCATCTATGCTAAGATCAGATATTACCAACAACACACAACACTTTTGAGTTGTTGAAGCTCTTTTTTCCCAATTTCCATTTGCACCATCACACACAAGAACATTAATCATTCAAAGACACAAACTGACAAATTATAAAGATTTTTCTAAGTGTCATGACCACTGATTAGTGTGGTAATACACATATAGAATGTCGGAGTACTGAGAACTTTTAAAACTGACATAAGAGGGAAATCAATTGCAGCTAAAAACATGAGATATCATAGAGAACACTGTATATACTTTAATTATTAAAATGTATCTTGGTCATTTTCTTGGTTACACCAACCAAAATGGTAATGGGTTCTAATCTCGGTCGGGATGTGAAAGTCTGGTGACCTTGAATAACTGAATAAGCCATCTTTTTTATACGCCCACGTTGTAATGTGGACGTATATTGTCGTTATCCACGTCCGTCTGTCTGTCCACAATTGGCTTGTGAACGGGATAGAGACTACAGTTTTCATCTGATTCGAATGAAATTTTGTGTGATCATTTATATTGATGAGATCTTTGAAGAGTTTGATATTCAAGTTATTGCCCTTGATTTATGAAAAACGCGTCAAAATAGAGAGTACAATTTTTATCCTATTTAAATGAAACTTGATATGATCATTTATAATGATGAGATCTTAGTCAAGATTGAATCTGACAATTTTTCGATCAACAGAATTTGAGTTATTGCCCATGACTTAGTAAAAACTCATCAAAATTTGTTGGTGATAGAGGTGACAGTTTATGTCAGAATTTGATTAAATAATGTGTCTTTTTTTAAATCAACAATATCTCGCACAAATTAGATTTGGTGACTGCCCTTGATATACTGAAAATGTATCAGGAAAGTGGGCGTATCTTGCTAGGCAACCACTTCTTAAAATATTCCAGTCAACCCAGGTGTAAATGGGTATGGCTAACCTGAACAGGATGAATGCCAAGAATGACTTTTCCAAAAAGGTATAGAACCTCATGATATTGTACAAATATTCTAGAAATTTGAAAAAAATGATCACTTATATATATTTGAGTAGTTCCTATTGGGTACTTCTTTAAAGGGACAGTCTGATTTTTTGGTTTGAAAATCTTTTTGTTGAAATTTATGAAAACTGTACACCAACATCAAAACTAGGTCAAGCTACTTAATTAACAATTATTACTGTTCATTTTTAATCAACCCTATTAAAACAAATTCAGTTTGATCAGGTAGATACATAGAAGTAAATAGTGACAAATATTGTTTAACAAAAACACTGTAAAAGTAGAATTTGTCAAATAACATTGAAAATAAGATTTAGAAAATATGCTTTTTGTAGTTGAAGAATTTGTGAAAAACCTTTTCTAATAATTCTATTTTTGGCACTTTATTCAAAATTGATAATGCCAAACTTCATTTGATCTCTTTATATTGTCAAAATGTTTCTAAGAATAAATCGAATTAGCCGAAATTGGACATGTTATGTGTTTGAGAAGCTCAAGAAACATTTTAAAATTGATCTGGCGTCAAATTAGTTCCAAATGAATCAATTTGCTTTGAATAGCTCCACATCAGTAATATAGTCCTAAACATCTGCCTCTATTCCAGCCACTGATAGCTATTGTGAAAGTTGTTGGCTGGTGTATTGTCAGAAACAATAGGCCTGTTTTATGGGGATTTTCCACATCTACAAGGTGTGCATTTTCTGACACATATTTATAACCTTGAAAAATTACCAAACTCTGGTGCTTGTTTAAAAAGGCTTTGATAGAATTGCAGACATGACATAAATGGTGTAGGAACATAATGATGGTTTGATTGAACTACAAAAATACCTGCCTGTCTGAATAAATCACGGTTTGGTGGATTCACTGTAAAGAAATAGGTTTAAAACAGCTGCACACTCAGAGGGTGTAAAAATAGCCACCAGAGGCTGGAATAGAGACAGATGTTTTGGACTAACCAGTAATGCAGAAAAACTCTGAAAATGATGGACTTGAAAAATGCTGCAAATTGACGGAAACATTGTTAGTATTAGAAATATAACATATGTCAATATTTTATTGGTCCACCGAGATTTGCCGCCATCGATCAAAATCCAGTAAGGTCAACAAAGATGCTTCTGTTATTTTGTTTATCTTTGATCTTTGTTTTTCTGTTTTTGTACAAAATTGTTTTGTTCTACATGTACAGTAAAACCTGTATTAAAGATCACTCAAGCAAAGAGAAAGAATAATATGGAATATTACACCCTCCACTTCTGCATTTGATCAAAACTAGAACAAAGAAGGGCAACAGGACATTTGTTATGTGTTACATGTACAGTACAAACTGTAGTGAGTGAAATGGAGCACTATATCCTACTATTCTTCACCTGATTGGGTTCAAATGTATGACTGTGACTTGTTTGGTCAATGTTTATTTAAACAGCTATACATAATTCTGTGGCATCTTAAGCGGTCACTAAAGATGAAAGAATCGATACATGCAGAATTTACTACTTGGAAACATCATGAATCAAAATTAACATCAACAAAATAGCGCATATTTGGTGGGTACATTAATTCCTTGCGTTACAGTAATTAAACAATATCACATGTGCTATAGAGAACTCATTTGCATAATTATACATGGTTCTCTTTGCCTGTCACTGAAAATTTGACTAGTGATTTGTCACTGTGGCATTAAACGGAATAATTCTATAATTCTACCCTCATGGGTTTAACAACCAACTCTATACACTTGCAAGTTTATCATTTTACCCAGTTTGTTTAGATTGAAATCAAATTAATTCTTATTTTTGGGAAATAGTGGTAAAAGGATCAAGTTCTATGGTAGACTGATATTATTTCTTTAGTATGAAGAGTTCACATTGTGGTCAACTCATTGAATTCAGACTTGTTCTTGTACAAAATATGTTCACAGACTGGTTCTTGTACCAAATATGTTCAAAGACTTGTTCTTGTACAAAATATGTTCACAGACTTGTTCTTGTTCAAAATATATTCACAGACTTGTTCTTGTTCAAAATACCTGAAGGGAATTGACATGGCCTTGAAACAAACTAATTAAATTTACATTAGAACTAATCATTAAATAGAAATATTTAAACAGGATTCAATACAGTGAATAAAGTTAAAGAAATAGATTGTTTGGTTTAAGAAAACAAATTCAAATCTATAATTTCAATATTAATGTCAAGGACTGTTATGATTAGTTCTTTAAGGGAGAGTGTGTGCCTGCTTCATTAAAACATAAATTACCTTTTATTTAAAGGTGCTTGTTGATTTTTAAATGTCAGTTTTGGAAATAATCCTCGTTGAATATATGTAAATAGTCTTCAGAAATACTTGAATAGCACAAAAATTGCATAATTCCTCCAAAAACACCTCAAATTAGAAATTTCATATTCTTTTTCTATAGATGTCTGTTCAATATATGGCAGAGTCTCTCAATAAAAGACAAGTCGTCATTTTAACTTTCAAACACGAATAACTCAGGACATACATGTATTTGATTGGTACGATTGGTCAAATGCATAGTGAACCTATCCCTTTCATTCTAGTATTCCATCAATACGTTTGGCTTTTTATTTTTTTCAGGCTGGTTATATGAACTCGGTGAAAGACTGGATGAACCAATCATCAACAAGACAAAACCAGACGTCACCATATCCTACTTAACAGCATTTTATTTCACCTGTAGTTCTATCACGAGTGTAGGGTTTGGAAACGTCTCTGCCAATACCACTGCTGAAAAAATATTCTCTGTATGCGCCATGCTGATTGGAGGTAGGTTTGTATGTAGGCATATTCAAATTATGAGGTCAAAGGTTAAATCTACTGGTGATACTTTATTTTTTTGACATGGGTATTGAAATGTAAATGGTACAGGGTATGAGAATTTGGTTTGAATAAGCCTATATAGCAGTTTTTATATGGTATCTTGATGCTCTTTGACTGTTTGTGTCAAAATAAATTCTGAAAATTATTTTAGGAAGCAAATTCCTTTAACCTTTGACCTCCTGACCTTTTCATATATCTTAACTTTTCAGCAATGATGCATGCAGTAGTTTTTGGTAATGTAACTGCAATAATTCAACGTATGTACGCCAGGCGTGCCAATTTTCACTCCAAAACTAAAGACCTCAAGGACTTTTTCCGGACTCATCACATTCCGAAGGAATTGAAACAACGAATGCAGGAATACTTTCAGACCATGTGGTCAATGAATCATGGGATTGATATTAATGAGGTAAGTTCTATGGGTAGCAACAAGAGCTACAGTCTAACATGACTAACAAATTCCAACAAAATAACAGAAATGATAAAAGCTACTATTTATCATGACTAACAAATGCCTAATAAGAGCAAGTCTAACATGACTAACAAATGCCTACAAAATAACAAGATAATAAGAGCTAGTCTAACATGATTAACAAATACCTAATAAGAGCTAGTCTATCATGACTAACAAATGCCTACAAAATAACAAGATAATAAGAGCTAGCCTAACATGACTAACAAATGCCTAATAAGAGCTAGTCTATCATGACTAACAAATGCCTACAAAATAACAAGATAATAAGAGCTAGTCTGACATGATTAACAAATACCTAATAAGAGCTAGTCTATCATGACTAACAAATGCCCACAAAATAACAAGATAATAAGAGCTAGCCTAACATGACTAACAAATGCCTAATAAGAGCTAGTCTATCATGACTAACAAATGCCTAATAAGAGCTAGTCTAACATGACTAACAAATGCCTAATAAGAGCTAGTCTAACATGACTAACAAATGCCTACAAAATAACAAGATAATAGAGCTACAGTCCTATAAATCCAGCAATTCCTGATATTTTTCAGGTTTTGAAAGACTTTCCTGAAGAAATGCGAGGAGAAATCAACTTACAGCTCCATAAAGAAGTTCTGTCGCTACCAATCTTTGAGAATGCAACACAAGGATGTTTGAAATCCATCTCTCTTCAAACAAAGAGAGTGTTTTGTGCCCCTGCTGAGTTTTTAACACGCCGAGGAGATACCGTCAACTATATCTATTATCTTTGTAGTGGGTCCATGGAAGTTTTGAAGGATGACATGGTGGTAGCCATATTAGGTAAGAAAATTATGGTGTTTTTTGTGATTGATATCATTATTAAAAGAGAGAGCCATGCTTCAATAAGAGCAGTTTGTCCCAACATAAGCTTTACTCAAGATATGTCTGCATTCAATTTTTAGCAAACTGTGGTTACCCCTGCTGTATCTTTTTAATTGAATATGGAATTAAATAATTTCTGGAAAAACTTAAAAGGGCATTCTGTTTTTTTCGTACCGCAAATTATAATTTTTTTTTTTGGTCAAAATTGTGAAAACCCTCTTTACCGGTAATTATCCCACAGAATTATAAATGAAACATATCAAATCTTTGTTTCCCCTTGCAGGAAAAGGAGATTTATTTGGTTCAGACATCAGCTTTACGGAACCAGTGAGTACATCGCATGGTGATGTTCGGTCACTAGCATACTGTGAACTACAATGTATATCAATACGAGGGTTGCTAGATGCACTGGCCCTGTATCCAGAGTTTGCTGATAAGTTTTCTGAGGATATCCAGCATGATCTGACGTATAATTTAAGAGATTGTCGAGAAGATGAGGAAAAGGTATGAACTATTTATTATTTGAGGGGATAATAAATCAGAGAATTTGGACATTTAAAAATGGTAGGTCCCTTGAAAATTTGGTCAGGAAAAAACAAAAATCGATAGAATTGGGCATCCCGTCGGTAGAACAGTGGACAACATGCAAAAGGGGTAGAAACCCGACTACATCAGTAGATTACTCATGTATGTTTTTTTTCATGAGCTTGTCCTTAGAAGAATCTTCACTTTCTAGTATTTTTACGTGTATTGAGGTTTTTATATATATCATTCCAATATTTGATCAGATGTCTGTGGTTCCTGTAAGTAAAGACCTTTGTTATAGTGATGTAATAAAATGCTTTGTTTAAGTGGAAGATGTCTGACTGAAAATTGGAATTCAAATCAAAGTTATCTGTGTCCCCCGATACACATGAAACATTTATTAAGCATTTTTTTGGAACAATTATAATTCTAATTGTTCTATCCTATCAGGCTCTATTCACATGAAAAAGGTTGCAGGGAAATGCTAGGAGAAACTCATGAAATAGAAATAGTAAGGATTTATGTGGAAGGGGATATTAGAATTGATCAAGGATCATAAAGGGCAAATAGAAAGAAAGAGGTTGAAAACATTGCTGTCAAAGATCTCATCCAGTAATATCTTGATGGACTGACGGACAAAATTCACGAACTGATTTTGTCAAATATATTTGTGAAAAATCACTGCAAGACATATCCAATCAAGGATAAAACATGGCCGTTTATCAATAATTTCATGTCTGCTAAAGTGATTCAAATTCTTATTCATGAGTGTCATAGTTGCCTGAAGCTTGGAAACTTCATTTTGTTGACATTTAATGGAGCTCATTGTAACCTTTGAAGACAATAGACGACTCAGACAGACGACAATGCTCTAGACAAGTGAGTAGATCCAGGGAATGTCATAATTAAAGGTAATTGGTCGTCTAGATATCTTACCTGACTTTTAGCCATACGTGTCATTTTTGTATTATGTAGTATCCAGTTTGTCTACAAGTAAACATGAATTAATAGGGGAAGTGGCAGAAGAAGCATGCTGAATACACCACATTATCATTGCTCTTGATTACTTCCTCAGTTGGTATTGATGGCAAATCTCAAATTTTCTATGCATTATTAAAAAAAAACAGAGAAATATTTAGGCTCTGTTCATCTTGATCCTTTATGGCATTTTTCCCAGTTTTGCAAACAATTTGTAGGGTAAAAGTCTGTGCACAATACTTACAAATATACAGTATTTGAAAGCAGGATAAGAACCAATGCAGTTTTATGTTTTTCTGACCAAAACAAGCAATGCCAATAAGAATGCAATGAGAGCCATTTTGCCAGAAAAATGGCAATAGCCTACCCCTTTTTGATTTTCAACAGTTGAAGAATTTTTAAGGTGTACAGCTAGTAGCCTTACTTGAGAACTGTAGGCCAATCAGTCACTGTAAGAGGAGCTCATCCTGACCTATTGGACAATAGCCCACTTAAACATAACATATTTCACCCAGACAGACAGTGGTAAGAAAATAGATTTTTTTTTGTTATGATCTAATTTCTTAAAGATAACACATTCATGAAGTGAAGTACTTACACAAACTGATAAATCAGACAAAATGGTTGTTCTGTAGCATAGTTGGTTAGAGGGTTGGTTCTTTTCATTACATCATTTGCTTGGTTACATCAAACAAAGAAGAGGTTAAATATTGATCTGTGTGGGAAATATGATGACCTTGTATAAGTCATCTTCAATTAATTCCAAGCTATATAGGTTATGGATAATCTGGTAAAGATCAATGCTAAGAATTCTGGCCAAGTACCATTCTTGTGAACCTAAGTTGTTATCATTGCACAGTATAGTTGTTTCTTTCTTTTTAAACTAGCAGATAGCAATATTATAGATCTTATTCATGTATCAGCCATAGTGAATCCAGATAGAGGCAGATCTCACAAACATAAAAAAGGTAACGCTGTGTCGCTGCCAAAAAAATAAAATTGCCACCCGACATCTTTAACACCTCCTTCTCCATTGTCATTAGATCAAACCATATCAAATTTTACATCATTAAAATCAGAATTTATAAAGCTATTTAATGATACCTTCCAATGAAATTGACACTCACACATTTCTGAAAAAGGCCAGCTTGATGCCAATTTTCTTTCTTTTGATCAGATGTTTAGTGACGTCAAATGACTTCGCCCTCTTTTCAATAGATGATGTAATTTGTGTTGTGAGACTCGCAAGTCAAGTTTTTCCAAGCACAAAATACTTTAGAACCTTGTTATCCTTGTAAAATAAGGATATTTCCAATTTTGCTAGTTTGCTCTGTTTTAATAGTTTGTAAAACTATCTACCATTTTTCTAGACAAAACACATTTCTGATATTGATAAAAATTTTAATATTGAAAGATGAGACTTTTTTTCTTCTTTCAGAGAAGATTTCCTCAATAATATTCTAATAAAGCTAAAATGATTACATAAAGAAGTCACAAATGTTAAATGACTTTTGTCTACTATTGACTTTTTGCATTTTATTTTTTTATATTTGGTCTACAGCTGGAGTGTAGTCAGCTTGTAGAAACACCAGACATCACCTAACTCTTGATGATATTCTAAAGGGTGTTCCACTGTTGTACTATTGTCTGTTTATAGAAACACCAGACATCACCTAACCTTTTGGTTATATTCTGAAGGGTGTTCCACTGTTGTTCTATTGTCTGTTTATAGAAACACCAGACATCACCAAACTCTTGATGATATTCGTAAGGGTGTTCCACTGTTGTTCTATTGTCTGTTTATAGAAACACCAGACATCACCAAACTCTTGATTATATTCCGAAGAGTGTTCCACTGTTGTTCTATTGTCTGTTTATAGAAACACCAGACATCACCAAACTCTTGATTATATTCAGAAGAGTGTTCCACTGTTGTTCTATTGTCTGTTTATAGAAACACCAGACATCACCAAACTCTTGATTATATTCCGAAGAGTGTTCCACTGTTGTTCTATTGTCTGTTTATAGAAACACCAGACATCACCAAACTCTTGATTATATTCAGAAGAGTGTTCCACTGTTGTTCTATTGTCTGTTTATAGAAACACCAGACATCACCAAACTCTTGATTATATTCCGAAGAGTGTTCCACTGTTGTTCTATTGTCTGTTTATAGAAACACCAGACATCACCAAACTCTTGATTATATTCAGAAGAGTCTTCCACTGTTGTTCTATTGTCTGTTTATAGAAACACCAGACATCACCAAACTCTTGATTATATTCCGAAGAGTGTTCCACTGTTGTTCTATTGTCTGTTTATAGAAACACCAGACATCACCAAACTCTTGATTATATTCCGAAGAGTGTTCCACTGTTGTTCTATTGTCTGTTTATAGAAACACCAGACATCACCAAACTCTTGATTATATTCCGAAGAGTGTTCCACTGTTGTTCTATTGTCTGTTATAAGAAACACTAGTCATCATCTGACTCTGGGATATTCTTGTGGATGGTTCACTGTTTTACTATTGTCTGTAAATAGAAATACAAGACTTCACTTAACACTCAGTTAAATTTCACAGGGTTGACAATCCTTTGCTTAGTTAAGTGGCATGTGATACAGAACAACAGTGCATCACCTGTAGACCAACCCACAGTTAAGTGGTAGTTCAATAGTGAACAACCCTCTGGCTCAGTGGAAGGTGATGCCTGATGTTTCTAAAAGTGAGATATTTATATGCTATCATACAACTGTACTAATGCCTACTAGAACCAATAGAACCCATACTTGACAGCAATCTGCAGAGAAATATGAGAGATATTTCATACCACAAAGGGGAGCTCCTACTTCAGAACAACGCTCTGGTCAACACATCTTATGTTGATCTGACGACAGCAGCAGAATGTGGATTCAGATTACTATCCCATCCTCTATACTCTCCAGCTTAAGAGGCAGATTGTGAGCCTAAAACAGTTTTGAAGGTTCATGGTTAGATCAGAAAGATCATGTTTGGCTAGAAACTTTATGATTTATGTTTTCCAGGAGGACGACAGCCCCAATGTTCCAGTCATCACCTTGCCTTCGATATCTGAAGATGCTGAAGAAGAAGAGGAACATGATAAAACATCTCCCTTGTCCAAAAATGGTGATGATGAGGGTAATGACAATGACCCAGTTGGTACTCCCCTTCTTTCCAGGATTCGATCTAAATCCTTGAAACTATCCAATGGTGATTTAATGTCGAGGTAAGACAAATTTTCAAATACATAGCTTGTCCAAAGTCTACAGATACTGTCCAAAGTAATACAAAGATGATAAACCATAATCCAGGAGTGATTTTAGTCACAAATCTTCACATGCAGCATGTTCTGAAAGTAGGTCAAAGCATGTGCATTTCATGTGCATTGAACTGATTACTAGTCTAGATATAGGGAGACCTTAGGTATATTTAGGCACAAGCTAGGTCTATAAATTTAACATAGAGTCTTTCATAGGTGACCATAGTTTGATTGCAACATTCGGACAAAGATATTTATGCACATCAAGGATAAATTTAAAACACAAATAATATACATACCAAACCTACATTTCAACCCACAATTTGCATGTGACAATGACTGACATAAAGTTTAAAAAAAGTTTGTGTTTATGTTTTGAAATGATGAAATATGTATAAATATCTATGTCCAACAATATCTTTTTAACAAATTAATTTTGTGAATTTTTGATATTTTTTTATATTGTTATAAGTTACAAGTCTTCTTTATTTTGAAAAAAAAAAAAAACGGTACAATTTTTGGCGTCTTCTTTGAATTTTATTTTTTATTATATGAAAGAAATTTCTAGAAAGTTAAATGAGGTATTTATTACAAGGTGTTTTACATCTTACTCTACTGTACTTTACTGGACTTATGAAATAAAATAGAGTTTTTCATCCTTCTGTTCTGTAGTATATTTAACTAAAAAAATATGTCTTGAATAAAACAAAATGAAATATCTTGAATCCTATTTTTTGTAACTTTTGGAGGTAAAATCACTGAGCTATAAATAGTAAGTAAAGTGGTAGATATTAAAAATCCTCAACTTTGACACTCTCAGTAATTTGTCATATATTGGTCCCAGTGCCTGTCAGATTATATAGAGAACTCTGTACAAAATAAAATGAAGTTGTACACCCTATAGGGTTAAGTGATATTGGTTCATAATGATACAATGAAATGAAATGAAATCAATCTTTGATACAATGAAAAAATATATGTATCATATTTGGGTATTTTTTAATGAGACAATATTACTAACAATATAAATTCTGATACTAGTGTTTATTATGATACCAGTGTATTTCCCAGCCCTGACACCCTATATCTGTGTATAAAGAAGACTTGTATCTGGTATTGTATATCTTTAATGTATATTGTTCTGTCTGACCATTGTTTTTGTTGTGGTTGCACAGTTTAACCGGTAGTCTGAAACAGTCCAAATTAGCAAAATGGTTCCTGCCAGAAACGGCTACATCCAAGAGGTATCAAAGTCCATGCTTGATCTCAAGTTTTATTTTTGTACACACACATCAAATATGGGCATATATTGTCGTTGCCACTAATTTGTCAGTCTTTTCAATCTGTTCATGAATTTTAAGCTGTAGCTAATCATGACTTTAGACTTCTTCACAATGTCTAGCTAGTACGAACTTTGTCTAATACCTTGACTTCATTTAGAATTTTTGTCAATGCAGTGCTTTGATTGGATTGTACGCTTACTAGCAAATACTGTTGTACTTTTATTATCAAATCAACTTTCATCACTTTACAATCCTCTCATGTGTCATTCTGGGGCTTTATATATTAATTCTTTATTTAATATGGATTGAAATTCTAAAAAGACTGCTGTGTGGGTGTATATTATTTTGTATCTTCACTTCTACCACTGTTCACTTGGAATGTGCACTTAGACACCTTTACTTTAACTTGTGATTGGGGTCAGAGTTTTGGAGAACATGACAAGGAAATATGTATTTCGCACTCATTGTGAGAGGTTCCATATATCCTGTATACAATTTTTGTAAGGACATCAAGCTAGAATTAATTCTTGTAAGACAAGCAGCCAGCCTATCAGCAACATAATTATAATATATGTACCAGAGCAGGCTGTTAAGTAACCATTACAAAGTGACGTCACATGCCATACACTAAAAGTTATATTACTTGAAGTTCAAAGTATATTATCTATAATTTCATTTAAACTCAGTGTTTAACCAATGAAAATTTGTTTCTGTGACTAGATTCAAAGTTGACTTGTGGTGCTTGAGGTTTCAAAATAATGAGAGGCCATGCAAACCTGCCACTACTTATTTCCTTGTTCGGTTCCCCAGAACTCTAATTCCCAGAAAATTTGCTAATGTTTGATTTATGATAGTATAGCCTGGGCATTTGTATTCATACTAACAGATTTCTACAACCACCAGAGTATTGGACAATTCATAAGATCTACTAACAAATTTCTTTTACAAAACCACAAGATTATTGGGCAAATTTATTAATATTCAAACCTCAAGATTATTGGGCAATTCATAAAATCTACTAAAAAATTTATCATTACCCAAACCTCAAGATTATTGGGCAATTCATATGATGTACTAACAAATTTATTAATATTCAAACCTCAAGATTATTGGGCAATTCATATGATGTACTAACAAATTTATTAATACCCAAACCTCAAGATTATTGGGCAATTCATATGATGTACTAAAAAATTATTATTAAAAATCCACAAGATTATTGGGCAATTCATAAGATCTACTAACAAATTTATCATTACCCAAACCTCAAGATTATTGGGCAATTCATATGATGTACTAACAAATCATTATTAAAAATCCACAAGATTATTGGGCAATTCATAAGATCTACTAACAAATTTATCATTACCCAAACCTCAAGATTATTGGGCAATTCATATGATGTACTAACAAATTTATTAATACCCAAACCTCAAGTTTATGAGGCAATTTATAACATCTACTTACAAATCATTATTAAAAATCCACAAGATTATTGGGCAATTCATAAGATCTATGAACAAATTTATTAATACCCAAACCACAAGAATATTGGGCAATTCATAAGATCTACTAACAAATGTATTAATACCCAAACCACAAGATTATTGGGCAATTCATATGATGTACTAACAAATTATTATTAAAAATCCACAAGATTATTGGGCAATTCATAAGATCTACTAACAAATTTATCATTACCCCAACCTCAAGATTATTGGGCAATTCATATGATGTACTAACAAATTTATTAATACCCAAACCTCAAGTTTATGAGGCAATTTATAACATCTACTTACAAATCATTATTAAAAATCCACAAGATTATTGGGCAATTCATAAGATCTATGAACAAATTTATTAATACCCAAACCACAAGAATATTGGGCAATTCATAAGATCTACTAACAAATTTATTAATACCCAAACCACAAGATTATTGGGCAATTCATAAGATCTACTAACAAATTTATTAAGACCCAAACCTCAAGATTATTGGGCAATTCATAAGATCTACTAACAAATTTATTAATACCCAAACCACAAGAATATTGGGCAATTCATAAGATCTACTAACAAATTTATTAATACCCAAACCACAAGATTATTGGGCAATTCATAAGATCTACGAACAAATTTATTAATACCCATACCTCAAGATTATTGGGCAATTTATAAGATCTAACAAATTTATTAATACCCAAACCTCAAGATTATTGGGCATTTCATAAGATCTATTAACAAATTTATTAATACCCAAACCTCAAGATTATTGGGCAATTCATAAGATCTACTAACAAATTTATTAATACCCAAACCTCAAGATTTTTGGGCAATTCATAAGATCTATTAACAAATTTATTAATAACCAAACCTCAAGATTATTGGGCAATTCATAAGATCTACGAACAAATTTATTAATACCCAAACCACTTCAAATTTATTTTGTTGTTACAACCACTCTTACCAAACCACAGGATTATTGAGCAATTCATAAGATTTACCAAAGGGTTCAGGTGTTAAAATTTAAAAAAATTTAATCTAAGAATTCATTGTGGTTTAGAGGCTAGTTATGGCCTAAAAGGAAGTTTTCTAAATTTTACCTGTTCTCGTAGTTAAGAGGCTATTTTTAACTTGGGGGTTTTCATAGGGAATTTTTTAGGATAATGACACGCATAAAATTTTAGGACAATTACGATTAAGTCAGGCTATATTCTACGGCAGGGAAAACCTTAGAGAAAATCATGAAATAGAAAGGATTTATAGGGGTAGGGGGATAATGCAATCAATCAATGATCCTGAAAGGGGTAAAAGGAAGAACCCTTTGTCTGTTTGTTATGTCTAAAAAGGTGTTTCAAATTGACATTTTTTCATGGGTTTAGGGGCTAGATATGTACAAAAATGTTTTTGAAATCATCTCAGAGATTTAGAGTCTATTTCTAATAAGAGTTTTGAAATTCACATCTTGTTCTGGACGGGGTTTAGACGTCCAACAAATGTTTTCAGAAATATACAACTTGTTCTGAAAGGGGATACTTACGTCCAAAAAGGAAATTTGTGTTATCTTATGGGTTTAGCGTCCAAAGAGTTCAAATTCTTGTTGGCTTGTAATATGTCCTCAAGGCTTCAAAATTATTGTTCTGGTAGTCATGCAACGGTGGCTTCAGATACTGAAAATATCAATTAAAGGGAGATAACTGATTTCCAGGTTTGAATATCTGACCAGAAGTATGTTTGGTGGTGACAGGTAGGCTCTGCTCCTAGCTTTGTATGCCTCTCTTAGCTCTCTGTGTAGAGATAGCTTCTCTCTATAGCGCCTTATTGATATGCTTGTGTGTGCACTCTAAATGCTCAGACAACTTTTTTCAGCTCTATATGTCTCTGTACAGAGGATTTACAAGCCTCTTTGCACATAATGTATTCACAATTAGCTCCTTATGTCTCTGCATATTGCTGAGACTGATTGTTAATTCTGTATACCTCTGTAATGTACCGATTTCAAGTTCTATATACCCTTGTCAGTTCTCTAGAAAGAAATAGCTTTACTCCTTAGCTCCATATGCCTATATTAGCTCTGTATCTAGGTTTTTTCTTCTTTAGCTCCAATTGCCTCTGTTAGCTCTTTGTAAAGAAATAGCTTTGCTTGTTAGTTCCATATGTCTATATTAGCTCTCTGTAAAGAGGCATCATTTGTCCTTAGCTCAATATACCTCTGTAAATTCTCACTGCACAGAGACAGCTTTTTGTGGGTATGTTGCTCATGATTTGCATTTGCAAGTGTCTGTATGACATATATGTACAGATACACCCCTGTTCCTTTGATATGTTAGCTAAAAGAATTGATCATGATATGTATGCCTCTGTACAGAGTTGACACAATTCTTTATCTGCCTGTTTATATATAACATTGTCCATGCTCTTCCCTCTGTTAAAATACTGTCTATGCAGAGATTATACTGCTAAACTACTTAGATTTTTAGCTTTGGTACATAGATTGCTCTGCTCCTTTTCTTCTTAGTATTTGTATACCTTTGTGTTGTAGCTCTGCAACCAATGTAAATTTTTAAGCTATTCTGCCTTGTGTAAATGTTTGAATGATGACAACATAGCTTAGTAGCTTTGTTTTATTTATGCAGAAATTCTGTACCTCTGTGCTTTGTATTTCCCTTTGCAGGCGTAGCTTACACGTCCCTAGAACTTAAGTCTAGTTAGTTGCTGATGAAGAAAACCCTTCCAAATACAGAGGCAATGACATGTAGATTAGTTTCATATTATGACCAAAAATATTATATGAAAAGCAAATTTTTGTGATCCATTATAAGCAATCTTTGCGATAGTGACATTATAAAAGGTTTAGTTTTTGGACATTGTAAGAACTACAGGTGTATGACTGAAAATAAGAAAGATGCAAATCATTGCTATCAGTGTCCCTGATGTACATGCAAACGTTTAGAAATCCCCCTTACAATTATGATTGGGTCAAAGCTGAATTGATAAAGGATGATCAGAATAGTAGAAAAGGAACTAATAAGTGTCTGAATATGCATAAAAAAAAAAAACTTGTTTGAAGTCTCCTGAATAATATATACATCTTTGCATTTCAGTTTAGTATTTCAATATCAATATGAGTATATCAATATGTGCATCTGATATGTATTCAAATCATTTTCTTGCACTATGTTAGCATGTATGTTTATATAAAGGTGCATTTATAGCACCTACTATATTATTTATATGCACATAGAGTATACATATTATAAATATCATACTATTTCAATTTTTAAATTATTTATATTGTTGTGTGTTAAACTAGGTAAAGTATTATTGTTTCGTGATATTGAATATTATTTATCGTAAGTTAATTGTTGTTAGAAATTCCTATTCAGCATTTATTGCTCAAAATTCAGATCACAATGTTTGTTGTTCAGAATTCAGATCACAATATTTGTTGTTCAGAATTCAGATCACAATATTTTTTGTTCAGAATTCAGATCATAATATTTGTTGTTCAGAATTCAGATCACAATATTTGTTCAAATGTTCAAAATTTAGATCACAATATTTGTTGTTCAGAATTCAGATCACAATATTTGTTGTTCAGAATTCAGATCAAAATAATTGTTCAAATGTTCAAAATTCCGATAGCAATGTTTGTTCAGTGTTCAAAGTTCAGATCACAATATTTGTTCAAATGTTCAAAATTCAGATCACAATATTTGTTGTTGAAATTGAAAATCCAGATCACAATAGATGTTGTTTGAAGCAGTTTGTCATATTAAGATCATTTCTTTACATTTCCAGAACTGAAAATTCCACTGCTCAGCAAGAAAGTGCAGCTCCAAAGAAATTCACCCCAAACCCAAACGCCATGCGGCGTGCCAATTCAATGGGGTCACGACTTCACAATAGATACAACAGAAGTCATAAACTTCGACCATGTAGAACACTTCCCAGTTTAAATCAAGGTAGGGTCATTTCAGTTAATTTCAGACATCATCTGAAGGTCATGCATTTCTTTCAGTGAATTCCAGATATTATTCCCAGCCCATATATTTCTTTCTTTCAGTTAACATCAGATCATCCCATCATCCAAACGTCATGTATGTTTTCTGGTTTTTTCAGACATCATCAATAGGTCATGGATTTCCAGTTCATTTCATGTCCCAAAAAATTATTACCTTAATACACCACTGTACACTATTTCCAGCCTTGGATTCACTCAAAAGGGTCATAAACAATAAAACCAAAACTCAAACCTTGCACTTCTGTTTTCCATTTCAGCCAATAAACCAACAGATGATTCAAATCAGTTACAGAATTTACAAGTTGAAATGGAAAATACGAGGACTAGCGTGGACAATCTTGAACGCAAAATGGAAACATTAAGTACTGAAGTGCGGCGCGTCAGTACAAATATGGAAAATTTATTAAAAGTTTTAAACAATTCTGGCAGATTGCTTCTGCCTGAGAGACCAACTCCAACCCCTTCACCTGGGGCACAGGCTCGTGCCAGCTTTACTTTTGATCAAATACTCAGTGAAAATCCGAATTTACTTGGTTCAGTGACTAGTGTTAATAGTGACATCAGTGATGACAAATTAGAAGAACAAACGCAGACGACAATTCCAAATATGGTATTATCGCCATGTTGTGCTAACAATTCGTTAAACTTTCCTCGTGGATTAACACAGATGTCTTCAGAGAAACTTCCAGCACACAAACAACCTCCATCTTTGTACAGTCAACAAATTTTATCTCCACAAAATTTAACGTCACGTCTTTCAGTGCCCCAGTTAGATTTAGCGCGACCTCCTCGTGGAAACAAACGCCCAAATAGTTTTCCCCAATCAAAATCAGCGAATGCTTTAGGACAGGAATTTCCAAACTTTCGAGGTGTTCAAACTACTTTACAGGAATGTAGTTCTAATAGTTCTGAACTTCCTGTGGTGTCATCTGCAGCAACAGAGCAGAAAGACAGTGAAAGAGAGGCTTTTAACGACATGAGGCGTAAAAGTTACCCTGGAGATACAAAAGTGAAAATTGACATCCCTGACTCACTAATCGTAACCACGGAATTGTGATATTTTACATTTTATCATTCTTTATTTTTTTTAGCCCTTCTTTCTAAACAATTATTTCCATTAAAATTTGTTATTAATATATATCACTAACATACTTAACATTTGAACTCTTTGATCTAATTAAAATAAGATTACAATTTTGTTTCTTTTTTGTCTGATATTTTCGGTCTGCAGTGATATCTAACAATTTTGTACCACAGTCCTTCTCAACCAATCAAAGAACTCCATAGCAAAAATGAATTGAGGGATAACAAATCTCAAATAGAGCATAATAATGGCATCCACACATCTGATATCCACAATTCATTATTGTTACCAAGAAATGGCTTCTTCATGACACAATTCGAGTGATTAAAAGTAATGTCAACAACACTGTGGTAGAAAGCTTGTTAGATTACAATGAAGAAGAAAAATACCGGGGATGAAAATTTGACTAATATTGTCCTTTGGTAAACCCATTTTGTCTTTTTACTATTTCTGATTCTGATTAAAATGCAGGTCTGAATGATTTGTTTTTGTTTTTTTCCGCTGAAGGTTACTTTTCATCTGTGATCTGACAACATCTTTATTATTCAAATCATTTTCATGAGATTATCACTTTTGTTGGTCAATCGAGTTAAGTGAATTTTTAATGGGAATCAGCCTCAAAACAGCAATGTCAAGCTATTACAATCTTTGTACTATACCTTGACTGCAATAATCACAATCCTTGTATCACTTAATGCATTGATTTGATTTGATTGCACATCTTAAAATACAGTCAATCAGAGCCCTTGACAGAAAGAGTGTAAACATTATGTCTTGCTTATTGTTAACACACATTCTATCAAAAGCTCTGATTAGCTGCATCCATTCAAATCACTGATTTTACAAACTTCAGTGATATGAGTATCGTGGCTATTGTAGTTAAAGTATAAGACAAATTTCGTTATAGCCAGACATTGTGAAGATGGTCTTGTTGACTAAGCATTCATAAAATCGCATAAGCTCCTATTGGCACAAATTTTTTATTTTTTATTTATTTTTTTATTTTTTTAAAGTTTTATCCTTAAATGATCTCAGTTTGTAAATAGGGTAAATATATTTTTGTTTTTGAATTTTATTTTGTTTTGTAGTTTGTTTATTTGTTTATTTGTTTATTTGTACTTGTCAACAAATTATGTTCAAATATTAAAATTAAAATAATTCAAGACTAATTCAGTAGTTCTACAGTTTCTGACTCAGAAAGAATTTATATAATACGGTTTTATAGTCTTTTACATTTTTTGTGTAAATATGTAACTTGAGGTCAGTTTTAGCTATCTATATCACTTGTCAGAATTAAAATCTGACTTCTGGTTTATCAACAATTTTTGTAAAAGGAATTCTAAGTCAAATAAGAGTTGATCCAGGTAAAAGAAACTTTTTAGACATTCAATATTATGTTGTTTCTCGGTTAAGGTGTCATTTTAATTTTTGTTGTATGAATAAAGAATTTTGAAAACTGTATACCAAAATCTACATGAAATATTTCCGAAAAATTTAACCGATTTTCAAGCTGCTAATTCATCAATTAGTACACCCCTTTTATAATTAACCTTTTAATACAAATTCACTTTGATCAATTAGATAAAATGTAAATAGCATATTTTAAATTAATTTGGTTTTTGATAATCAAAATTTTGCATATTTCTCTTTTAAATTTTAGTTGATTTCTTAATGCCTTACCACAATAACATTTTTCTAGATTAAATGTAGCAGGAGTTGGCGTATAAAGCTCTAGGCGAACAAAGGGATAGCGTATAAAGGTACAAGGTACAATAGCATATAAAAGTAAGGGGGAACCAGAGTGTTGCATATAAAGGTTTGGAGTTCCTGGGATAGTGTATAAAGGTTAGGGTTTCGAGGGAATAGTTAATTTAAAAGGTAATTGGGTACTAGTAGACAGTACATAAAGATTAGGGAAAGCGTATAAATGTAAGGGATTCAATGAGATAGCGTATAAAGATTAGATGGTACTAGGGGATAGTATATAAAGATTAGATGGTACTAGAGGATGATGTATAAAGATAAGATGGTACTAGGGGATAGTATATAAAGATTAGATGGTACTAGGGGATGATGTATAAAGATAAGATGGTACTAGGGGATAGTATATAAAGATTAGATGGTACTAGGGGATGATGTATAAAGATTAGATGGTACTAGGGGATGATGTATAAAGATTAGATGGCACTAAGGGATAGCGTATAAAGGTTAGAAGGGACCAGTAAACAGTATATAAAGGTTATAGGTTATAGGGTATATAGGGGTATCAGGAGATCGCATATAAAGGTAAAGGTGTACTCGGTGATAACGTATAAAGGTTAGAGGATCAAAAAGTTAGGAGCCAAAAGTTTAAGGTCACAATCTAAAGCATATGTGATTATGATAATTACTCACCGATATATGATATTCGCTTTTCTTAATAAAAATGCATCAGTTTACCCAAAATTTTCATATTTGGAACTGTCAAAAGTTACATAAAGTTTGACTTGTATACCCTAGTATAATACAAAGTCGAATATGTGACTTAACAAGATTGGACTGTATCATTATTTATTATTGCAGAATGAAGGGTTAAATTTGTTGTCAGACTAACATCTGCTGTATCAAGGGCGATGTATTTCGTCTGATTCGTGAACCTTTGATAAATCAAGATGGTATTTGTTTATTATTGAAGATCAAAAAGCCCAGTACCAAGGACTTTATCATTATCTGTTAAATTATTATGTTAAGTTTTATATATATATATATATATGAATACAAATTTCATTCAAAAAAAAAAATTAAAAAATCATTAATCAATTTTATTATCATTGTATTTTGCCTATATTTATGGAGTTTAACTTGAAATGAACATGATGATTCATTGTTAACTGTTCAAAGAGATGTTGCATTGACAAACCCCACTGTCCCTCATCTCAGATTTCCTCCCCACTGTCCCACATCAGATTTCCTCCCCACTGTCCCACATCTCAGATTCCCACCCCCACTGTCTCACAACTCAGATTTCCTCCTCACTGTCCCACATCTCAGATTTCCTCCCTACTGTCCCACATCTCAGATTTCCTCCCCACTGTCCCACATCTCAGATTTCCTCCCCACTGTCCCACATCTCAGATTCCCACCCCACTGTCTCACATCTGAGATTTAACCAGCTTAACCAGTTGATAGATATAGCTATCCGTGTCAGTTGTCAGAAACAAATCTCAATTATGCTTCCACAATTACTACCTGAGAGAACAATCATAACTTCCTGGACTGTTGTCAAGTCAGATCGGAAAAGGGACACGAGTATTCGGTATAGGGTTTATAGTTGTAAAGCATACATTATGTCGTTATGTGGGGAAAAAAGACATTCCAGTACCCTTAATTAACTATTTTGCTCATATAATATAGAAATCGATGCCCCAGATGGGTCCATTTTCTTTTAAAATAAATCAAGACTAGAGCAGCTGGTCATGTTACGTTCGTCTCAACTAAACTCAATCCCGACATGAATACTTGAGTCTAAGTGGGATATCGCAATCGGATTGAAAAAAAGTTTTGCCACCATCAAATAACTCATTTTTATACGCCCACATGAATATGTGGTCGTATATTGTCGTCGCCCCTGTCCGTCGGTCCGTCCGTCAACATTTCTTGTGAGCACTATAGAGACTACAGTTTTCATCTGATTTTGATAAAACTTGGTGTGATGCTTTAGATTGATAAGATCTCGGTCAAGTTCGAATTTGACATATTTTCAATGAACGGTTTTTGAGATATTGCCCTTGACTTTGTTAAAACGCTTCGAAATTTGTTAAAAATAGTTCGTGAGCAGGATTGACGCTACAGTTTTCAACCGATTCTGATGAAACTTGGTGTGATCATTGGAATTGATAAGATCTCGGACAAGTCCTAACTTGACGCATTTTTGATGAACGGTTTTTGAGTTATTGCCCTTAACTTTGTTAAAACGTGTTGAAATTTGTTAAAAATAGTTTGTGAGCAGGATTGACGCTACAGTTTTCAACCGATTCTGATGAAACTTGGTGTGATCATTGGAATTGATAAGATCTTGGACAAGTTCTAATTTGACGCATTTTTGATGAACGGTTTTTGAGTTATTGCCCTTGACTTTGTAAAACGCGTCAAAATTTGTAAAAAATAGTTCGTGAGCAGGATTGAAGGTACAGTTTTCAACCGATTCTGATGAAACTTGGTGTGATCATTGGAATTGATAAGATCTCGGCTTGACGCATTTTCGATGAACGGTTTTTGAGTTATTGCCCTTGACTTTGTAAAAACAAGTCAAAATTTGTTCGTGAACAC